TCCACATGGCTCGCGGGTTTGTATAGCCGTAGCAAGCAGAATCTGGCATGTGAGGGTTGTCAGGTTGAGGTTTCGCACAGGATGGCATTTGCGTATAGCCTTCACGGGCTTGCGGCTTCCGGCTTTGTCAGGGTGTTTCTTATTGCATGCTTCAAATCAGTCACCTCTGCATAGGTCTAGTGCCGGGTGTTGAACTGTCTTGGGGATCGACGGTTCAGGAAGCTCGGCTGGTCTCATGTTGACACGCCTCAGGTCCACAAGAAGTTCATTATCTGTTTCGTTTCTGGGCCGACTTAACCTATCACAATTAGGCACCATGCTGTGCGAGCTTCAACCGCGCCTGAATATCAAGACAGTGTTGTCCGGCCATCCCGACGAACATCGACTGGTTTGAAGCTGTGACTACCTTCGCTGCGCTCCCTTCGGCTGCGAGGCCTGCGGGATGACAGGACCTTGCTTCTCCCTTGTGCACGGTACGACAGTATTGAGGCCGGCGTGACAATTTCCGTCGTCGTCGCCCTCTTCTTCCCCTCTTCGTCACTATAATTGCCATCATAGTGACAGGAAGGTGGATTTCGGCTGTTGCTGAGTTTCAGTCATTCTAGCTCCACAGCTTGTAGACGCCCAAACTCCTCTGCTTGCGGGTCGACCCAGTCCTGATTTCATAGTTCTCAAATAGCTTCCGACAAGCAGACCGTTTTGGAATGCACTACAAAGCTATGACCACTCTTGAGGTCTAAGGCTAGCTCCATGATGCGAGGCGAAGAGCTGGAGAACCGGATCCACTGGAGTCGCTGCCGGCCCAGCCCTCAGATCATCATGAACGCCGCAGCAGCAAGAGCAGGACGTGGTAGCACTAGCACAACCGCTAGCAGTAGAATTGGCACGAACAATTGCAGTAGCATTGGCACAAGCACTCGCACTTGCTGTGGCACTGGCACTGGCTCTAGCACTGGCTCTGGCACTGGCACTAGCAATGGCATTGGCACTGGCACTGGCATTGGCATTGGCACGAGCAGTGGCAGCAGCATCAGCAGCAGCCGCAGCAGGAGCAGTCGCACTAGCAGTTTACATGCTCGTACCACTACTACTACTACTACTACTACTACTACTACTACTACTACTCCTGCTACTACTCCTGCTACTACTACTACTACTACTACTACTACTACTACTACTACTGCTACTGTAATGCTACTGTTGTTATTGTTTCTTGTGGTTATTGTTCTCGTTCTTGTTCTTACTACTGTAATTGTTATTGTTACTGGTATTGTTATTGTCATTGTTATTGTAATAGGGAAAGTTACTGTTATTGTTGCTGTCGCAGCAACGCAGCAGCGGCAGCAGCAGCAGCGGCAGCGGCAGCGGCAGCGGCAGCAGCGGCAGCGGCAGTGGCAGCGGCAGTGGCAGCGGCAGCGGCGGCAGCGGGGCAGCGGCAGCGGCAGCGGCAGCAGCGGCAGCAGCAGCCGCAGTAGCAGCCGCAGCAGCAGCCGCGGCAGCAGCAGCAACAGCAGCCGCGGCAGCAGCATCAGCAGCGGCCGCAGCAGCAGCGGCAGCAGTGGCGGTAGGAGTGGAAGCTAGATCTGGGAGTGTAATGCTCGCCACCAGGGTTGGTTATTATGACGAAAACAGGATGCACCCAAGACAATCGTGCGGCCCTGCTGATGCAAGCGCGCGAGAGTCCAGGGCTCCGGGTCAAAGTGCTCGAAGCCTGCGGATTTCGGGGGTCTTGTGAGGTATTTCTCTGTGAATTTGGGTCCAGTTTTTAGTTCCCCAAAATAGTTGTGGTATGTTGTGGTAGTAGGACCAACTGTGGAATGGCTGAAAGATGCTGAAAGCCTGCAGCGTGGCAGGCCGGCGCCTGCCTGGTTTTGCTGAAACAGTCCGTCTCCTGCCTCAGCGCCACACTCGGAAGTCGGGATGCAGGAGTCTGTCGCACGGAAAACAGAGGATCTCCATGTGTTTCCATTGTATGTCTTTGAGTGAAGATGAGGAGATGCTTAGTCACTACGTGCAGTGATCCTAGTCGCAGCACGACAGGCACGGAGCTCGTTGGAACTCACGGCGCCGCATTTCGTGGAAGTCAGCCGGAGGCGACAGATGTAACTGTAGGAGCCTTGGCAGTCTTAGTGAGGGTTTGATATGAATGCCAGGTCTGTCAACTTTTGGAAGAGGGTGCTGAGATAGCTGTGGCCTCAACCTTGCCATTTTTGTGTGACCTTTGCTTGTGTTGGAAGGCCGCATGAAGCCAAGGATCATCGTGATGGGTCCCGACTCCGCACCCCCTTAATGTGGGTCGGAAGCTGAGGGCTGGACCTTTGCATTTCTCAACATGATCCGGCAATAGTCATGACAAGCCTCCCGCTACTGCAAGGCAGCCTCTGCCGGCAACGTCGCCATCTGCAACCAATTGCTTCGCCACGGCCTGCTGCCCGAGAATTCCCCTCTCGTGCAAGCTCAGACTTTCCGAGTCCAAGGCGCCAACCCATGCCTGCGGGCATCAGGCCCCTGCAGAGCAGCTCTGCACTCTCTTCACACACGCACCTGTTGGTGAATCCCGCTTAGAAACTATTCCATTGTTCTCCCTGGCTGCGTCTCTGTCTACGAGGCACCAAAGCTGCCCAACTGGCAGAGGCCAACGGCTACAACGAGCTTGCCAGCACCCCAGGTGGCTTTGTGCCAAGACCGGAAGCGAAACTCCAAGAAGCCACTCTTACCCGTCCAATTACTGAAGCAGTGCTCGCTTCCTCTGTTGTATGAAGACGAGAGCACACAAGGCTACACCATGCAGCATCATGCAACGCTGGTGAAAGGACGGGGTTGCTTTCTGTACCATGTTTCTGAGGCTGAGATGCTGGCGAGTGCGGAGAAGGAGTGGATGGAGTGCCCTGGTGCGAGTTTTCAGGATTTGTAGCGGCACTTCAGCTTTAGAACACCATGGCACTTGTTCTGTACCTGAAATGGCTCAAGGCCGGATGCAAGCGTGCATAGGGTAACCAATCACGAAAACTGAGTGCTGTGTAGCATCCGTAGCGTAATGCATTTCACACACGTTGAGGCTCGCTTCAGTGATTCGCAAAGCTCGTGACACCCTCACAGGTGGTCCTTTGTCCATCCTATGGAAGCAGCAGCGAGTGTGCAGGATTGCTCGCCTCCAAGGAAGGTTAATGGCCAGGCCATCGTATTAAGAGAATCAGAAACTGAGGGCTACGAAGTCCTTTTGCAGCTGAGATCAAAGGCCATGAAAGCTATGCCAGGATATCTTGGAGCCCTCGGAGGCTGCAGAGACTTGACAGACAAGGACAGTCGCGAGACGGCTAAACGGGAAGTGCAGGAAGAGTGTGGCTTACAACAGTCCAGCATCCTCATGGAGCCCACAAAGTTTGCGGAGGGAGCCAAGTGTGACTGGTTTGTCATGCTGGTACGCAGAGATGCGAAGTTCCAGAAAGCAAAAAGCCGTGCTGAATGTGGAGACATGACGACAATACTTGCCCTTCTGCCACCTTCTGCTCAGAAGGCTGACTGCTATGGCCACGCATGGGTGCCGACCGAGCACCTGTCCCAGATCGATCAAAAACAGCCATTGATGGGTGGTCTTGTGGACCGCATCCGATCAGCGGTTCTCAAGCTCAAGGCACCAGACCCATCTCATCCGGAAGATCCGCCGGCTGACCTTCTATGCGACGACGTCGACATGGTTGACATACCGCCCGAGGCAGGGCCAGTGGAGGTGGAAACTGCAGCCGCAAGCTGATGCCACCAGCCTCTCGCCCGCTAACGGTTCTGCTTAAGGCATGCCAGACCTTGCAGCGTCCTGGTGCCCTTCCTCCCATGGCATGGGTTCGCGGAGTTCGAGATCCAGACAGCGCTTGTCTGAAAGAATGCTATGGTGTGGAGGTCTCTCCACTGACTGGTGAGAGATCTAGGGCAGGGGGTTGATCAGGAAAGCCACGGTCCACACCATCACACTCCCTGATGCCAGGCGTGGGACTGTTCAGAGCGCACTGGCGCCAGCTCCCAAGCCGAGGACCCGCATTGCTGCATTTCCGTAATGTGGCTTCCACCCTCCTGGATGTCAATGTACGTACGTATTAATGTAATACGTATTAATGTAATATAATGTAATGTAATGTGATGTAATGTAATGTAATGCAATGTGATGTAATGTAATGTAATGTAATGTGATGTAATGTAATGTAATGTAATGTAATGTAATGTAATGTAGTGTAGTGTAGTGTAGAGTAGTGTCGTGTAGAGTAGAGTAGTGTAATGTAATGTATGCAAACGTAATGTAATGTATGTCAATGTATGTATGTATGTAGATATATACGTGTGTATGTAGGTTGGTAGGTCGGTAGTAGGTCGGTAGGTAGGTAGGCAAATAATAAGTAAGTAAGTACTTATGTATTTGTTGATGTATATGTAGGTACGAAGCGGTCTTGCAGGTTCCGACGGCCGCTTATCGCTGCCGACTGTGGGCAGGCAGCCGACTTCGGGAGGGAACGCCTAATAACCATGCAACCGAAGCTGGTAAAAGCCAGTCCAAGCCGAATCTGATCTCATCCGACTAGCTGCGCATCATTAGAAAGGAGCAGTACACCGTGAAAATCTTCGACTCCATCCCAAGCTGCCAGGCACTGGCCCTTTCAGTGCTACTTCTGAGCTGGGTAGGCTGGAGCCGGCGGCCGAGTAGGGCAAGGGTGGGTGGCTTACAAAGGTCGCTATGTTGCATCATTGCATCGTGTCACAATATGTTGAATTGCTACTTGCACTTTGTAGAGAGCTGGTCGAGAGCTAGCCCATCCTGCGCAGCTTTGAGGCAGCCACAGCTGGTGCGCTTCGGCCTGTCTGGCCGGACTGGCACTGGCCGCATTTCTGGAGCTGCTTGCATGCTTGCTGCAGTGGCAGTACATGGTAAGTTTCGGTCAGAGACAGAGAATGTCGGCTATTGTAAAATTATGTAAGGCCAATGTGGAAGAGCATCGCACAGCAAACAAGCACGAAGTAGAGCTAAAAAGGGTATGCATGGGTGATTTCTCGTCCTATACAGGTTTCCTTTCAACCTCTTACCTGAAAGTGTATCCAAGACCAAGTTGCGTGATCCCAGTGTGGCAGGTAACACCAGTCAGAAAGCTCGTTACGACCAACCTGCTTGGCCCTTGGTGTCACTTCGCTTCGGTTTGGCAAAAGCCTCGAGAGAATTCCTGTATCGCCTGTAGCCTCAGCGCCAAACCAAATTCTCTTCAGCAATTTGGAAGAGTCGAAGGCCACGAAAGTTTTACAGTTGGATCCAGATTCAGAGAATACCCAATCTTAGGTAACCCCCGAACCGGCAACCCCGTTAAGGGCTTTGGTTCCAGAGCGTACTGCTGCCGCAGTACCCAGCAAAAGGGTTGAGTGTTACCGCAGCACATTCCATACAGTTCTTGTTGATGCCAGATGATCAAACACTGCATAGTCTTGCATCCATATGCTGCAGCGCAGCCCATTTCTAAGCTTCGATCGCGAAGCTGTGAATGCGGCTCCGACACCCGAAGCCTTCCTTCGTCGATGTCAGGTGTCGTAGGCGGAGCAAGAGCCGGAGACTTAGCTAGTGATGACAGTTTCACGTTCTCCTTGCTCTCGTGCACTGCAAGTGTTTACGTGCACTCTCGTTCGCCCTTTGACGACCATGTTTCTGAGCAAGGGCTGGTACTGCGCAATCCTCTCGGTATTCGCTGCATCAGGGATGCTTCGCTTTTTGTTGGTCATACAGCTGCAGTTTGCTGACTTTTCTCGGCACGAGGGCACATCCTTTCGTCCTGATGAGAGAGATGTCCTCAGGTGTAGTGGCTCCCATGCCTTTCAAGCCCCATGCAGCGGCGGATGTCGTTGAGGGGCCTTTGCCATGTAATTCAGGATGCAGGCAATATCTCAAGTCTGCGATCTGGGGAATGTAAAGCGAATTGGGTCCAAAGAAACTTTGGAACGCATGCACTTGTACAGCTTCCTCCAACAGTGGCGAAGATGCACACATTGCACACAATCTCTTGGGGCAGCCTGCGCCAAGCTGACTTGCTTGAGTGGGTGGGACGTGCCTCAGTCTAGCACGCGGAAATCATCTCGCCTCTGACATTGGGCGAGCATTTCCGGTCTGGGATTTTCAGGCGTGGGGCTAGCTAGCAAGCTACGGAGTTCACTCTTTCCGATGTGTTTGTTTGCCGGAAATTCCCATTTAGTTCTGAGGAGGGCAAAAGGCACTCCAAGACAAAGAGCTAACTGTACAGGGCCGCCATGCAAGGCAGAGCAGCTCTTAACAGCCCGTGACCGTTGCATTGCCTTGCTCTGTCCATCTGTGTCCTTTCCGGGTATGCTTGCCACCTCTAGTGTGCAGTCCTTGCCATCTCGGCTGCCGTGTTTTTAGAGCAGGCCCACGCTGACCCTGCTGTCTCTACAATGCGGATCAACACGGCTTCACATGATGTCCAGGAAGTCCCTGCCAGTTGCGCCGATCCAAAGTGCACACCATAGCTCGATAGAATCACTCGCCTTCAGCTTGGCCATGTGCTGCAATTGAAATGCTTCTGAAGGCCTGGCCCCTTGTACAGTGCGACAGTGAGAATGCAGCGTGCAGCTTTCGCACAGGCGGCCCGCGATGGCGACTTAGAGGTTGCGCTGCGCAGCACATGCTTGTCATTTTTGGCCTATTGTGAGGGTCCCTGTGGATTGCGAAGCCCATGACGAGCTTGTTGAGCTGCAGTTGCATGGCGTTCTGTTTGGAACAGTTTAGTCGCAGATCTTGGCATCCGGATGCAGCGTCCAGTAAACTGTTTTGTTTTCGGTCTTCAGGTCTTGAAAAATTGCAGCTTTGCAGAAATCACTGCGCGTCCGTGTGGCCCAAGCAGGCATCTTGCTACCAAGAGAGATATGCAATCTATAGACTACTGTAGACATCGACCATCCTTGCTTGTACGACGCCTTATGCATGCATGTAGTGGTTGTAGAAATTCCACGCCACAACTGGTGTTAACTATGTGACTGCTGTGGTGGCTTGAGACGCATATCGCATGTTGGTGGCGTCCAGAGCATCCGCCTCACTGCAAAGGCCGGCATGTTGAGATGCATCGAAACATAGCCGAAGATTCATTGATTCCTCCACCTCCACTTGCGTGCACGGTCTGCTGGTCAGAAATTATGGGTGTCACTGAGGCTCCAGGGATCTTCGTGGGTGGGTTTTCACGTATCACTCCAACCTGGTGAGGCATGGGAGCACAAGCAGATTCCTCCGACCTCCGCTGAGACGTGGAGTCCGGCCGCAGAGGCCGTGCTGACGGCAATGAGTTGCTTGTACCACTGTTTGGAGCTTCCGCCGACAATCCCGGATGTCAGGGGGCAGCCTGGGCTTTCGCCTGCTCTCTGCGGCCTCTGCGGCTTCGCTGCCCTGGCCCTCCACACACGGCAAAAACGCTGGGAGCCTAGGGCCTTGGCCTGGCTTCCGTGTCTAAAGGGTCCCTTTCTGTCCTTGACAGCGCTTCGTCCGCCGAGGCCTTTTACAATTTTACTTGGCACGTTTGCGGAAGTTGAGCAGAGCGAACTGATATGAAGACAGGAAACCTCCAAGCCAACATGATGGATCAGTGCCCGTATTTGGGGCTCTTTGTCGTCGTGGCTATGACGTCACGACATCTCTGAAGTTCCCAGTTCGAGAAATCCCTGTGCTCTAAGCCCAGAACTGCGACCGCTCGAGGTCGCCTCCAGGCCGCTCGAGCTTCTGCGGATGCATCCAGGAGGCAGCCGGGAAGCCCCAACCCTACACGGACCTCGCACGCCTTTACACTATCTTAGTACCATCTCACACCCATTGGCTCTGAACCTGCAACCCGGGTTTGGACAGAGACTTGGGGGTTGGCTGATGCGATCTTGTTGTGAAGTTCCCCAGCTACACTTACTCAGCAAACAAAAATCGCCTCGAGCATGTCTCTCGTTTTTGTCTGAAGCTTCGAGTGAATTCCGACAAGAATTGTCCACCAGCCCTGAAATCGGTTCAGCCCGAAACACCATGCGAAACAGCTTTCACCCCTCAGCCCCAGCAGGCTCGAGATCCGCGGCGACGATTTTGTTTTGGATGGCCAAGTGCACCGCATCATCTCTGGATCTGTCAGTGTCGACGACTGCATGTAGCTGCATTTCTGAAGCTTCGGCAGGGTTCTTTGGTTTGGGGTTCGAAGCTGTTATTTTCCGGTTCATTTTGGGCTTGGCAGCATTGACCGGGACGCCTAAATCTAGACGCTGAGACACTATGAGGTTACTTCCGGGTACTGCCGCCTCAGTGGCGTGATCGCATGGAGAAGCTGAAGGCGCTTGGATGCAACGCTGCCGAGGCGGGAATCCCAAAGCCCTTGGCTCTCAACTGCCGGCTCAGCGGGAGCTCTAAGTCCGGACTTGCATACACACGGGCCGTGCAAAGCAATGAGCCAACCATGCTTTCGCAAGTACAATATATGCATATTGAACTTTATGTCCGTCTCTTCTGCTACTCTAATCAAACCCAGACACCCAAAAATAGGGAACACGCTGGAAGAACGGGAGTTTGAGTTTCCAGAAATAGAAAAAACATAGGCCATCATTCGGAGGAAACAGGAAATGGATAGGGGGAAAAATCGAAAACCTTAGCACATACAAAAATGCAGAATAGGAGGAACATAGGAACACCGAGGTGTTTGTAGGAACACTAAACCTGGGAAAAGCAACCCAAACTATGGGCAACAATAGGGAAAACTCTGGGGATGCAGCTTTTGGTTTCCTAGGTCAAGGAAAATGGGGGAACACGGAAGAGACATAGGAGAAACCTGGTACAGCATGCAAACAAAGCCAGGACACACAGGGGAGAACAGTAGGACACATAAACACAGCAAGAAACAAATCGGTAAACATGGAGACCCCAAGGCAAACCTAGGAGAACACAGCAGGAACTCTGACACCACTAGCAAACCTAGGCAAGTTAGGCAAGTTTTCCTGTAGTTTCTGTTTTCCTCCATTTTGCCGCAGCACTTGATTTCCTATTTTCACCTGGATGAGGATTGTAAGGTCTCTCTAGGATTGGCATAATTGAGATTGGCATAGACATAAATTTGTAAATGCATCATTATTTGTGTTTATCTGTCTGCCTGGCTTTCTATCTCTGTTCCTGACTCTCGCTCTGTCTGTATATATAGATACAAATAACAAAGTATTTATACACATGTCTGCGCACACATGCATACATACATTCGATTGCGCATACGTGTTCCTCCACAGATGGATAGGTAGCTACGTTTAGACAGCTAATTGTATGGTATTTCGGATTACTATGACGGCAACTGCAACGGCATGGCAAGAGCAGAGGCAGCAATGTCAGCAGTAGTGACATTAGACAAACATGGGATTATAACTAGTAGCAACAAAGTAGCAGTGGCAGTAATGGCAGGAATGCGAGTAGGAGTAAAAGTGAAAGTAACGGTGACAGTGCTAGTGGTTTCAACACCGAAACAGAGTAGTGACAAGCTTACCACTGATGTTGACACTGCTGGAACGATTACGACTTGGATAGCTTCCCCGCGCACTAGCACCAACTCGAAGAAGGAAACGTGGTGTCAGCTTTTGAGCTTTCCATTTCTATATCTTTCGTTCTATGCCCGTTTCAAAGTTCTCATTCTGCACTCTGCTCTATCTGTTCTGCCTGCTTGCTTGAGGCTGCAAATCTTCTGTGCCTTGAATATCAGGTAGAGTCAAAAGTCTGTATGATGCAGCCCAAAGGAGCATTCCATACAATATGCAACCAGGTCCATGTAATGACTTGGTGACGTGAACAAGTTTTTGCTGCGTGGCTCTCCACATAATTCATTATCCTGAGCCCTGACCCGAAATGCGGAACCTTCAAAACCCTCAGTGCCGAGCCGCGGAACTCCAAACACCGAAGGCCCTATAAAAAAGATCCCTTGAGCCAGGTCTACGTGCCTTGGAACCTGCATGAGCCGGAGCCGGGAAGCTTCGACTTCGAGGGTCGCTGCGATCTCCCGGCTTTTCTCGAGCTGTGCCAGGAGCTTCACTGGGGCCTTAGGCCTTGGGATTGGGGGCGGGAACCAACCTGGTGTGGAGATTTCACGAGAGGCTTGTGTTGGACCTTTAGTTTTCTAGGTGTGCACGGCTGCTTTATCTAATTGATCATAAGCCCGAGACTCAAAAACTCGTCAAACTCTGAGCCACGAGTCCACCATGGCGAGCCACAGACGAAACAAAGGAGCTGCAGCTGGATGTGCTACTTCGACCCGGGCCATACATCTGCGCGGAGTGGGACTTCGGCGGCCTCCCATGGTGGGCCCCTTACGGGGGAAGTTGCAGGATCCTCCTGCAAGCTTCGGGCTTTTGTGCTGTTGGGAATGCTCGCTCCAGAGCTTCAGAGTCAGCCCATGTGAAGATCTGAAGCTTTCTACCTTCAGTTTGAATCGCTGCATGGAGTGTTTCAGCAGCTATCACCGGCCATCACCCGACGAAGTTTTCCAAGAGGGCATTCGAAGCCCGATCCCCGAGCTGCTAGAGTTCCCAATCTTCCGAAGCGAAGACGCATCTCAAGCACAACTCACCCCAGGAAGTGTCCCCGCAGGCCACGGTTTCTAAAGGCTGGTTCCCAAATTCCATGACGCAGCCCCGATGCTCTCCAGAAGCATCAAGAGCGCGAAGAACAATAAGCATAGCCAGGTGAGAATAAGAGTAGCGGCGACAGCTCGCCGAGGTGGCTTCTGCGGAATCCGGATCCTGTTCCCTTGAGATCTTCCGACCCGAAGTTCCTTGAGGCAGTGGAGAGGCGGAGCAGTTTGAGGCTTTGGGGACCTCAAGGAAGGCCTTGTTTCGTCTTAGTCCCAATCGCGGAACCCAATCCGAGTCCGGAAGAACGTCTCTCTGTCCGACAACTTCCCGAAGTCCCAGTCTGGCAATATTAGCCCCTCTCTTGGTCAGGTGGTGGTGCGGTCAGCTGTTGCCGCGAATTCGCCCGTATTTGGCAGCAAATGGTGGCACCATCATCGCCATGCAGGTGCCCTGCGTTTCAAAGCATTTTGCCCCAAGACCGATCTTCTTGAGTGAGCGTTCCTTGCTGGTGCGGAGTCTAGGTTAAAAGGTGAAAGTTAGAGCGTTTGTCTGGGATGGTCAGCTGAAAAGTTCACTTCGAGTGGCAGGTGGAAAATGAGTACGGATACTGGGGCATCGACCCGGATTATCTGGAAAAGCTACGCGGGATGATGCTGCCAAGTTGCATCGAGGGTACGTAGGCTCAAGTCTCGGTAGCGCGACTTATCGCGAGCTTCAGCTCCCAAGGCTGGACACCTTGGGCTCCGAGTGTCCGCTGCTCTTTACCAGCGATGGCACCTTTTGGCCGGACCTGCAGGCGCGAAGGGACCTGCCCTTGTTCCAATTCTGCCGTGCTCGCAATGCAAAGGTTCAGATTGCTGGAGTCTGCTGCACAGTTTGCTTGCTTCAAGTGGCAGTCCCACGGTCACCGGAGACTCAAAGGCAAACATCCGCAACTGTCATTATTTGTGCACTTGCGGCCCTCAGCACGAGGCCAATGGCGGCCTAGACAGCATGCTTCGCACTGCCAACTTCGGCTCGGAGCCGAATCAGAGGCCCTCGGAGTTTCTGGAAGCCTCATCGATTCATCGCTTGCCGGCTCTTCCAAGAATGCCAATCTGAAACCAGGGTGGGTCCTTGAATCCCAGTCCTTCACGCCGCAAAGGCTCCCCGAGCTGCGAGCGGCACAGCCTAGAGGGCCACTCTGCAACATGGAGCTGCCTGGCCCTGGCTTTGGGCATTCTGTTTGAGCCGATGTTGGTAGCCGCAGAGACTCTGCAGATTTTTGGTCGGGTGTGGCTTCCGAGGGTCCGAGAGTGTACATATATCAGCCGAGACCAGTCAGCAATATTTGCTCTCACAAGTCCTGATTCTCAGACGTATACGCCACACAGTTGGCGTCAATTTCGTTCGGGGGAGATGGGATTTGAATGCAGCAGTGTCGCTGGGAAGAAAGCCGTAGTGATGTAGGCTGGACCACAAGCCCTGTAGCTAGGTTGGGGATATTTATCTTCTGTTGGCCGTTGGTTCTGGGTGGTGGAATGCAGAGCACAGAAGGATTCTGGAAGAAGTTTCAGGTCTCGCCCACGCTCATAGCGAATGTACAAGCTTGCTCCTTCGAACTTAGATCCTCATTCATCTCGGATCCGCGAAGCCACCATTGTAAAGCGTCCAAGCCCGGAGCACCTCTGCCGTCCTAGGCCGATCTAGGCCGTGAAACCGAGTCCTTACAGTTACAGGCCTGCGGCCACAGACTCTGAAGTCAAACACAGCCCGAGCAGCCGAGGTTCTGGATAGGCCCGGCAGGGCCTTTGAGCTTTGGGTTTGCCTTCGGTCTTTGAGGGCTTTGGGAGTCTGGGCATCCGTACACGAGCCGGAGCCAGGTTGGTTTGATGCCTGGGGGGCACTGACCGGCAAGAGCTTTCGGGACCCGAAAGATGTGGCGAGGACCCTGCGCGGCATTCTGGATGCCGGTGCATCTGTCAACTTCTTCGTTTTCCATGGAGGTACTTCCTTTGGCTTCTGTGGGCCTGGTGGAAACGTGTCGCAGGTTGGACAGTACGAGCCTCAGGTCACCTCTTACGACTACGGTGGCCTGCTCGACGAGGCAGGTGAGATCACCACGAAGTACCTTCGCTGCCGAGAGGTCCTGGCAGACTTCCTGAATCAGCCCGAGCTGCTCGAGCGGAGCTTTCCAAAGACACGCCGGCTTCCGGAGTCGCCTCCTCTGGAGATCGAGGCGTCCTTGTCACTGGAGCAGGCTCTGCCCTGCTTGGCCAAGGATCCCGTGAAATCGGCTGTGCCGCTGGCAGCAGAGCAAGTCGGACTGGGTTATGGATACATCTTATACCGCTCCCAGATTCCGGCCAGTGACCTGCCATTGACCTTTGGAGACGACGTGATCCGGGACTTTGCATCAGTTCTTCTGGAAGGGCGCGTTCTCGGGACGATATACCGCAACGACTCTGGTCGCTCCCGCGAGTTCCAGGTGCCTCAGGCCGGCCGGCTGGAAGTTCTCGTGGAGATGATGGGCCGTGTGAACTTTGGTCCAGCGCTCTTACAGGAGAGGAAGGGCCTGGTGGGGCCTGGCTGCGTCCAGCTGGGCACTCCCTTCACGGGCCCCTTGCGTGCCGTCTTGGGATGGGAAATTTTTGCTCTCCCCATGGCTTCTCGGCAGGAATCTCAGCCCCTCCTAGCCCAGGGCTTTAGCTCCAAGTAGATCGCACAGGCTCCTGGAGTTCAGACAGCCGCAGCTCAGGATGAAGAAAGCCTCGCGCAGCTACCCTGGGATGCCTGCCAGGGGACGGCGGCCCGAAAGAGCGCCTGGGAACGGGGGCCACGGCTACTAAGCTCCCAATGAGTTGGCGGGGGTGGCTAAAGTGGGTTTAGGTTCAGTGCCGTCGGTGCCGGGCATGTCTTGGATGTAGCAAGAGAGGAATCGGATTTGACCCCGCTGCTGGATCATGGCGTGGCTGAGGAGGAACTAAGGATGGTCGATGTTCCGATGTAACTTGTAGCTGGGTGCTTTCAGAGCTTGTGGTTGGCTGCTCCATCATGTTGTCAGATGCGCTTTGCTGTACCGAGCAAGCTTGTGAATCTGCTCCTAGTCAGGTTCTTCCGTTATTCGTTGCATGTCCAGCAGCCCGCCGACGGCTTCCTGGCCCTCGAAGGCTTCACCAAAGGCTTTGCCTGTGTCAACGGCTTTAACCTTGGCCGGTATTGGCAGGCCAGGCACGGCATAAAGGGGTTTGTCCAGCTTCGGTTTACAAGTCAACTCTAGTGGATGTAACAGTTCTCAACCTGGTCGGAGTGTACCCGGAAGACAGCATTAAAGCCCTACACTAATTTCCAACCAGGGTGCGGAAGCTCGGAGTGGTTTTACCCCATGTGCGAGCCAATGTCTGGGTTCTCAGCATGCGGTCCTTGTCCTCAGGTCGGCCCCCAGCAGACGCTATACATTCCATATCCTGTTCTCCGACGTGGCCAGAACGAGGTCGGCAGCAAAAGCCTTTCAACCGTCGTGCGGAGGAAGGACCTTGCCCATGTGCGTGAGGTACTGGTTTTCGACATTGACAGCCCAGGGCTGGAAGAGGCTGAGGACGTTCTTGCGCTGGTGGTAGCTTAGAGATGCACGCTGGAAAGGCACAAGCACCGCCTGCTCCGCGGATAGTGCAGCAGCCTCAGCTACGCTTGCCGCTTCATGTCCAGCTGGTCAGTGCCAATGCCCTGCATACTTGTGGTTGAGGTCTGAAGCTATCTGGTCTACTGGAGTGCTGCCCCGTGGTGCGAAGGCCTCTGCAAGTACCGGTTTTTTCCATGTCGTGCATGGGCTCAGTGCAGGAAGCAGCGGCGAAGGTGTCCAATCTTTTCAGAAGCTGGACCTGAGGCTCTAGGAGGACGTTTTCCTCCGGGAGGTGGCATGAGCATCTGTAAGCGCTTCTGGTTCCTGCCAATGTCCATAGCACGTCCAAGAGTTTCACTGAAACAGATGCCATGCCGTTTCGCTGGTAGCGACACTCGGTGAAGGGGGGGGCAAAGGATCCCCGCAGTCCCTGCGATATAGACCTTAGATTCACAGACAGCAACAATCGGCCAAGGCACCGTGAAGTAGCCATACGATCCGTGCACCATATCCTAGCAACCCCAGCATGTTAAGCCAGCCTGTGTAGCTTCACAAGTGAGAGGAGTTGCTGATAAGCATTGTTCACCGTTTCTAGGGTCTAGGACGCGAATGCTTCCGGGCACCACTGAGCTCGCCAACGGGAGAAACCACTGTGCACCAAGGAGTCTAAGTTTCAGACACATCATCGGACCTCGGAGAGCGCCTTTGAACATCACGCCACTTCATCCTTCATTGTCAAATGCACATACTCTACACATCCTGAACTCCAAAGTCTTCTTGGAAGGTTGTCCTCAGACTGCTCTACACAAACCCATTCATCGGGGCGCAGGTTCGCCGATGGGTCTGGGAGTTGCAGACTTAAAGGATTGGGTCGCACCCCCCCAAATGCCGTGACACCGAAAGTCTTACAGCCGAAAGAGCACATGCGATTCATAAGAGAAAGCAGCGTTCCAAAGATTATTCCATACACGTTAACCCCAAGCAGCCCCACTGGCTCTCAGCCTCAGGTGCCACGCACCGCCTACCCGCAGAAGCAACAAAGTTTAAAGATACTTCATTGGATCTCGACAACAACTAGCGGCCTCAACTCCTAGCAGTGGCATCTTCGAAGCTCCCGTGGCCTAAGCCGGTTGAGTTCTCCCTGAGGAGTTGTGCGACTCTCTCTGGGAGGCAGCCCTGAACAGCCAAACCGAGGCAGAGCGAGCAGGTAGAGCGTTTGGTTTAACCCGACGGGTACTTGAGCAAGGCTTTGGGGATAATGATGCTGATGATGATGGTGATGATGATGATGGTGGTCAAGACGATGAGGATAGTTAGTGATATCGCCGCTGCACCATGTTGGCGAGGACTAGCACAGGTGCATTTATTCATTTCCCTTCGCCCTCCGTTTGTTTTGTATCTCCACTTGCTTACGAACTAGCGTGAGCTTTGTAATTCCTCTCACTTTTGCTAGTCTCCTCCTGCTTGCTCTTGCTGGTTCCAGCAGCACCACCACCGCCACCACCGCCACTACTACCACGGTCACCACCATCACGGCCACCACTACTGCCACCACTGGTGCCGCCGCCACCACCTGGTGCCTCCACCACCACGGCTACCAATGCTGCTGCCATTGCTGCTACTACTACTACTACTACTACTACTACAGCAACACCAACAACAACAACAACAACTACTACTACTACTACTACTACTACTACTACTACTGCTACTCCTACTCCTACTCCCACTCC